TTTGTTTTATATTTTTTAGTTCACTGTAGAATATCTGTTTTGTAGATGAATTAATTTTTGCACAGTTTATTAGTTTTATTTATAACTGCAATTTTTTTTAGTCATTTGAACATTCACTCTTATAATTAAAGGAACAGGAATTTATACTTTTTATAGGGGGAGATAGTGAACATATTGTTATGTGTACTTATCTAGAAAAAGGAATTTAGTTACTATTATTAAGTTCATATGTAAACTTAAGGACAGAGTTGTCCTGGAATTGCTTTTGGAGTTTATGTATTTTTCTGTATTCTTAACTAATATAAGAATATCATCGATGTATCTTAGGTAGATGGAAAGTATTTAAAAATAATTAAAGATGTTATTTTCAAGACTAGATATATAGAAATTGCTAAAATTCCGACCAAGAGCTGAGCCCATGGAGATACTATCCCGTCGTATATATGTTATTTTTGTGATCATAGAATAGGACTTCGGTCGTGCAAGTTAGCAGTAGTTTTCTTAATATACTAGGTCTAATTTTAAGTATAGGTAGAGATAAGTTATTGTATATTTTTCTTATGATAATATCAATAGTTTCGCAAACAGGGACATTAGTGAATAAGCTTCCAACATCAAGTGTTAGGTTTTTCATTTTTTACAATTTGAATAACCTCGAGAGTTGATTTTATGCTGTATTTGTTAGGAAAATATGGTGTGATAAGTTGGGTAATGATTTTTCTTAATTGATACACAGGAGTGGGAATTTGCGATGTAATAGGGCGAGGAGGATAGTTTTGTTTGTGTGTTGACTTGAACCAAAGAGTTGTGAGTTCGATACCTGGCTACTGCACTCGTGAGCAAAAACTTGGATAGTTGAGCTCAAGGGGGGATAACAGATATCCGGAAGAGGCACGGCACATGGAACTAGAAAAATCTACCCCGGTGGACGAAATAAAGGGTTTATTTCGAAATTTCATTCACCTGAAGAAGGTCGGGGCGTACAACGGCCGAAACGTCAAACAATTTATATAAAAATGGATTCCGCACCGCCTAAATAAATAAATAAATAAATAAATAATAAAAATAAAACGTACATTTAAAAATAAAAACGAGGGTAAAAGGGAGATAAGCGCGGATTCAAGGTCACAACATTATCATTGATAACTCTCTCCTCCAATTTGCAGACACTAGTTACTATATTCTTAATATTTGATATAATGCAAAAATATCACAGTGATAAAAATCGATCAGTAATTATTTATAACTATTTATACTGGGACTCATGCCTTTAATTTTTTGTTAAGCTTTTCACCTCAAGCAAGGCGGGAGTGCCACTAGCACACAAGGGGTTACCGAGAGTGGAATCAAGAGTAAAGAGGCGTGATAGAGGAAAGAATGAAGATAAGGACGCGAATAGATCAAAGCATCTGAAGATGTCGATTGATATTACATTTTTGGCCCTGCTCTGGCATCTCGTCTACAGTCACTCTCTCACAGACGCGCCGTCGCCTCTCTCTGTCTTTTCGACAAATACTTTCATGGTAATTGCTCCGATGAGCTGCTTTCACTGGTTCCCAGACTCCATGAATTCAAGCGCCCTACGAGGTGGGCATCCCGCTCCAACCCTTACACTGTAGAAACTTTTAAATGTAGCCGTCTCTTCTACTCCAATAGCTTCATACCTCGCACCTCTCGCCTGTGGAACACCCTTCCCAATTACTGTTTCCCTGAGAGCTATAGTCTCCAACTATTCAAATGTAATGTCAATCGACATCTCCAGTTACCTTGATCTATCCAATATCCCTCTCCTCATCCTTTCTTCTATCACTCCTATCTGCTCTTGCTCCAAATCTTCTGCAGCCCCCTGCAAAAAAAAAAAAAAGAATAGTTAGAGATTATAGCTATTAGGAGGAAGTTCCACAGGCGGGAAGTGCGAGACATGAAGCTATTGGAGTAGAAGAGACGGCTACATTTAACCGTTTCGACAGTGAAAAGGTGGGACTGACATGCCAACCTAGTAGCACGCTTAAATTCATGCAGTTTGGGAACTAGCGAAAGTAGTTCGTCGGAGCAGCTACCATGAAAGTAGAAAAGACAGAGGGAGGCGACGGCACGTCTGTGAGAGAGAGAATGTAAACGAGATGCCAGATCAGGGCCAATCGCATTGCATATCCGTCTCTCGATTTTGTCGAGGACCTTAAGACGAACAGCGGGGGCACCAGACCATATATGGCAGCAGTATTCCATGCAAGGGCGAATGGTTGATTTATAGATTTGAAGGATGGACCCGGGCGAGAAAAAAACTTTCTGGCGCGACACAGAGAACTAACTTTACAAGTAATCCATAATAATATTTTAAATTTAAAAATCGTATTTATTTTCGAAACCGTTACTAAATCTTTGATTGTCTTTCAACCGTTCCGCCTCACGTGATGTATTCCTCTGCTGCACCTGTAAGGAGCATCGCACCGTTTGAAAAACCACTGAGCCAGAGAATAGATGAATCTACGCCTTTTTAAGGGTATCTGCGTGAAAGAACGCAACGGCTGGAATTAGAACTCCGTATATGAGATCCCATTTTGTTGCGCGCGCACATCCGTCAGACGAATATAAGCTGGACAAACAGTACAGATTGACAGTAAAGAAACTTGTACTAATTTAAAAAAAAAATGTTGACCCGCGGTTTCTCAGATAAATATTAGGATATCAAGTGACAGTAATTCTTTTAAAATACTGGCATTAATCATTTTTTTTTAAAATTCCTCTTTACAAAACGCGGTCATCTCAGCGAAGACGGCTTTCCTGGTCTGTCAGTTGTTAGGACATTTGTTAACATCCTGGGGTTGATTTAGCAAAAAAAGGAAAGAAAAAATGATTGATTACGTTTGGCATCAGCGTTTTTAGCAACAATATCCGAGGAATTGGTGTCGAGGGAAGGTTTTACTAATTGTTTTTCATAATCCGCAGGGTTAAAGAGGTTGAAATAAATCTGTTATAATCGGACACTCATCACAAAAGTTATGACAACAATGTAATACGCGTCATGTTGGGATCTTAATAAATCTGTAGACTTATGTTGAAAAACGTATTGATTTTACATAGTCAAAGCCATAATCGTACTTATTATAAAACCCAGGTTTTGTGTGTGTGTGTGTGTGTTTCGTTTATATATGGGATCGGATTTCCTACATTTTTCAACCGATTTCAACAAAACTTCACGGGACTACGTAAAATTACCTTGCGGTGGTTCTGACAGCGCCAAAAATTGGAAAAAACACAATTATTTTTGCACGAAATCAATTTGAAAACATGATTAAGAGGCATCGCTGTCGAAAATGAAAGGGGGACAACTCATATCGAGTTATACTTATTATAAAACCCAGGTTGTTTGTGAATGTGTGTGCGTGTTCGTTTATATATGGGATCGGATTTCCTACATTTTTCAACCGATTTCAACAAAACTTCACTTTTTTTTGGCAGGTAGTGTTTCTTATTGTCTTGCACACTTTTTTTCCTTACTTTTATATTCAGAATGCTTTAAAAATTCCATTTACAAGACAATTGTTTATAATAAAATTCTATTCAATCGGTAGACTCATAACGATTGAAAACAATGTTTGAGTTTGGGTTTCGTAAAAAAACAAAAACAACAAAAAAAACTAATTAAGACATGCGTGTCCGTCAACCTTAAACAATAATCTTTGTCAATTTTATTTTTCAGTCTTTATGATGGTCGATACTTGATCTATCTCTTACTGTTACATCCCCGGGCAACGCCGGGCTCTACTGCTAGTTATATTATAAATTGGTGAACTCTCCCGTCGTATTCGACGTATGAGGGTCAAGCAACTCAGTTCCTAAGAACCAACAACCAGACACATATTTGATTATAGTGGTGAAGGCTTTGTGTAGAACCATCCACACATTTTGAAGGGCCGAATATAGAGACCTGGTGCACTACGTACCACAAAGTACCCGAACGACCCTCCGCAGGTTTTGAATTCAGAGTTTTCCTCATATCGAAGGATAGTAATGGATAGCGGCTCGGATTGAGGAATCGGAGAGCCGAGTTCGAATTCCATTCAAATCCTTTATATTCACTAATATGTTCTAATATCCTTGGGAAAAGTATGAATCCTCTTCTTCTCCCCCCAGCTATGGATAAATAGCAGGACTGGGTCCTATAGCCTTGGATGACATCTGGTCTAGGAGATTATATACTATACTATATACAATGCGCACTTTATTTGAGTATAATACGCACCTTTTCCCATAGATTTATATGGTTATTGATTGATTGGTTCGTTCTCTACAGCCTATCAACCCTTTGTTGGTTATTTAAAGCCAGAAAATATTTTTAGATTGTAAGAATCTTTTGTTTGTTTTAAGATGATAATAGTTTAGTAACACTAAATACGTTACTAATTAACCCTTAATTGGGGGAGAAGAGGTGTATTCATGCCCTATCAGAATTTGATAAACAAGCAAGAATTTATAATGTGGATATAAAGTGGGGGATCAATTCTATGTTAAAATCAATATATAAAATGATCCCTCAGTTTGGGGCCATGATAGTTTCTATATATTTATATTGCAGAGAATGTAGATAAATCAGTATTTCATTGATTGATTGATTCGTTTTCTACGGCTTATTAACAAACAAATTATAATGTGTATAGAAAGTGGAGGATCAATTCTATATGAAAATCAATATATAAACTGATCCATCACTTTGTGGCCACGGTAGTTTCTATACATTTCTATCCCAGAGAATGTAAATAAATCTAAAAGACATGCCTGTGTAGCTAAGAATATTTTTTTAGAGATAATAATGTTTTAATGGATTAGTAAATCTTACTAATTAACCCATAGTGGGAGGAGGAGGAGGAGATCGATTCATACCTTTCGCAAAGTCATTTTTGCGTAAGTGAATATAACGACCCCAATGGGAATTGGAACTCGGCTCTCCCTTTTCCAATTCCAAGATGTTATCTTTTACACTACCCGCACATCCAAGC